ATAATTCTTTAGTATATTACTTGTGTGGTGTAGAAGAGAATAGAAGTGAATCATTTATTGCTTGCAAACCAATGATGGTAAGATGATGTCATGGGGTAGGACTGGATAAGTCTGACTTCTTCCTACTCCATTCAAGCATGTACTAGGTATAAGCAAATTGATATTGGATTAGCATTTGTTGGATATGTGTAAAATTATGTGTGTTGACATATCAACTGTCTTTACATGCTTGAAAGAATAAATCAAATCAAATCCCTGAATTCACGATCCTGGGTTTCTACACCGTGAAAGCCACCACAGTTTCCTTTGATTGCATCATGCAGTTAATCATTGAATTTTTTTGAGTTCATTACAAACTTTGTTGATGTGGATGCTTTCTTTGGGGACCTGAAAATGAACTATCTTCCATCAATGCCTGAAATAACTTTGCCAGAAATCACTTTTCCTGAAATCTCATTCCCTACCATCCCACACGTACCTGTGGAAAAGCTTGTCAAGTCTCTTCAGATTCCTGAAATCAAGCTGCCAACCATTCCAAGTGACATCCAAATCTTCCAATTGCTTTCTAACAGCAAAGAAGAACAGACTGAGGCCTGAGTCCATATGAAACACTGCCCATACTCTCTCCAAGCAACACATGCTTGGAGAGAGTATGTAAAGTCTGTAAAGTCAAAGGTTTAAGCAATCCTAACACTAACATCATAATACAACACAAAAACATAATTAATACAAAGGCCAAGTGTTCATACCTTGCATTGTTTCTTGTTGTCTCACAAAGACAAGACCCAACAGCCAAATACTGTGTTTTAAACCTGTCTCAAGAACAGCAGGAGAGTTATAATAGGCCTTGACATCATAGATATGATTTTGTTACCCTTTACTTACTATTTTTATTTTATCTTTATTTAACCAAGGGGATGTTTTACAACCCCTTTTGACAGGGAGCCCTGAACAGTACATTTACAGTAAAAATGAATTTAATTATGATTTATGTGCAAAACTGTCCACTACGTTATTTAAGGTAATTGTCTCTAAATAGCCTGTTGTGATAAAGTAGGTTCAGATAAGTGAATGATATTGTTTTTATTGCCATCTAGTGGTATAATGAAATTTGTAAAACCAAATCACATTATGTACTGTATGGTCCAATACCACAAACTAATACAGTTTTATATCTAAGAGTCTTCTTAGATACCACTTTGAGAGTAAGAGTGTACAGTTTTTACAGTAAATGTTCAATTTGTTGCTAGCCTATCTGCGAAGCATAAATAGTGCATAATAATCTGTATATATACATGCATATTTGCATATTTATTGATGCTTATTTTAAAAAATTCAAGTATTTCTAGGGGTAGTGATTTGAAAATATAACTAATGGTTGTTATCTCTTCTGTTTTCTGTTCTCTGTAGTTTAGTCACAGGCATCTTATCTTTATTTTGTACCAAGTCCAGTAGTTATGACGCCTACTGCATCAACAACACTGGATCATCACAGCTACAGAGGTGAGATGATTTTGGTCTGGATCCAATTAATTCTGTAAGGGTCAACAGCAGTCCAAGGAAAGATAACAAGTAAGACAAAATCGGACTTTGTTGCTTTGGGGATGTCTTATATATTAAATTAGGTAACTCAAGTTTACCTTTATAAACAGTCACTCCCTAAACTCGCTCTTATAGGGACTAATTTATGATGCTGACTTTATATGCTTCTTTAAGGTTTGCATTTACTTTGGCTTGTGTTTTTGTGTGCCGTGCGTTCTGATGTCATCACATTACCAGTATTTCTTAAATGTCCATAATTTTTTACACCCAGTCCAAATTTATTGGTCAGTGGTATTTCATCCACCTTGGTTTTATGGACCACAGTAGTCATATATTGAACTACGTATCTTGATGTGATGACTTCTTACTGATGATATGTTTTTGTGTCCACCACATTGACTCTAATATTTAATTTTTTTGTGAGCACCTCTGTTTATCAGATTTCCTTCAAGTTGCATGTTGAGCATTACAACAACTCCACAGAGAGACAGAACAGCACAGATGATTTGTTATTTCCTACATTCCCTTTGTATCAGTATAACTTTTGATCAGGGTCATTTGCTCCATGCAGGCCCAATTAGATATTGTGCTCTGGCCTGTTGATACTCTTATGCAATTTCTTCTTTTGCCTGACTTCTGAGTTTCACTTCTGATATAATCATGATCAAGCGGCTATAACAGATTTCTCTTTGGGGTTGAAAGGTTAGCAGTGAGGGCGCTACTGTTAGGATACAGGTTTTTTTTTAAACGGAGTTGACAGAGGTACTGTATAAGGTGTCACTGAATCTTACTTGAGCTTTTCTACAAATGATCCGCTTAAAATAAAGCACAAAAGTCTGTAACATAAAATTCACTGTGTTGGAGGGAATTTGGCTTACTGTACCCTTTTCATCCAGCAAATCTAACACAGTGTCTAAGACACAGTTATATATTAAGGCTTGTTAGGATTATTTTCATTTCATTAAGTGATCTGCTGACTAAAGTTATTGTTTGAGTTGCAAAATGTAAGAAAATACTCATCAAAACTACACAGAGCCTTAAGTTACACCTTTGAATGTGTTGTTTTGTCTAACAATAAAAACTTTAAAATTATTATTTATTATAAAAACAACAAATATATACATTTGAAAAGCTGAAACTATGACTAATAGTTTGGTATTAATTGTTTTATATGAAAAGTGACAAACAGTTAAGCAGTCACTGATTAATTGTTTAAACTCAAATTTATATTCAGCTCCTGTTATGTTCATTTCTTCATATCAAATATTTGTCCCATTTAAAGCAGTTATGTTCGTGGGTCAATTTGACCCGCAACATAACAGGAGGGTTAATATTACACTGCTATAATAAAACATGATTGTTTGTGCCCAATATTTCAAACTTTGTCATTAGCATGTTATGAAACAGCTTAAAAATACAACGTGCGCATATGGCGCTGGTGCTTTAAGACTTTACTTTCTACTAGAGGCTTTCATGCATTTGTGGATGTTTTGAAGGACACTACAGTGTAAACCATGTGCTAAAATTTTTCATAAAGAACTGGAGACTATTAACTTCCTTTTGAGTTCCTTAAATTAAGATTTCTTAAATTGGCTGAACAGTCTCTTTCAATATGAAATCACTCTGAATTTGACAAACTATAACAATCATTAGACTTAAAGACAATATGACCTACACAGCTAATTTAAAAAGTCATAAAAGTCACCCTCTTACTTTGCTTATACTACCAAACTACTGTAGTTTGAACCCTTTAAGCGCTACAAAGAAGCATTCAGCATTAGAGACTGACGATATATTAGCTATTTTATGACTTTGATCTGATTGCAAAACTTTTTTTAGATAAAGATGTCTGTCTTTTTTTTAGATGAGAGACAGTAAAATATTCTGTTCTCCGTTGAAAATGACATCACCATCAGCATAATGTCACAATGAAACAACCCAAAATGATAAAACCAAGAGCTTCAGAAGTAATTAACCTTAAATCATACAGACCACCCACACCCAGTGCTGACAGTCTTAGTTTGTGAAGCGGTTTTTACCTTTGGCCTGCCACAAGGACTGCTCAGACTTTGGAACCAGAGCAACACATTTGCAAGTACTGGTAATCACACATTCTAAGACTGGAAAGCTATAAAAGCCAAAAGAGCAAAGCACAAGGATTAGTCTTCACTGAAAGAGGAGGACTCTCCTTACCTTAGGGCTTTCAGGAGCTTTACAAAGCCCATCATGGGGGGTGCAAAGCTCTGCCTTTTGCTGCTGCTGGGCACATACACACTAGCCCGTAAGTAATATGTTTTTATTTAGAAAGAAACAGAATCTGTATTGGTTTTATAGTTTACATGTAAATCTGTGAGAAAAAAAGGTTAGTGGACATTTATTGTTTAGTATTTAACAAAGTTATTAATTTACTTCAAGATGTTGCTATTTTGTATGTGACCACTTAATAACTAGAGTTATTAAGCATGTTTGGTACTTAGGTGTTAATTTTGTCATAATTGTGTTAGTTGTATTGCTATTCAAATAAAGGAGAGTTTTTAACACTTTGAGCACAAATATTAAAAAATACATGAATAATATTAATTTAACTATATTATGGCTTTTAAAATTGTTTTTCGTCATCTTTAATAGAGCAAGATGTTGAGGAGCAGTCTCCAGTTTGTTACTGTAAGTTTGTTTACTGTCACAATTATGTCCTTTTTTTATAAATTATTGTTTATGGCATTTATGAGATGCAATTTAAGTTGAAATATTTTACAAAAAAGTCACTATATATCTATTTAAAGAAATTAAAGATCTGTAAAGTCTGTAGTTTATTTTAGTGAAGAATGTAAAAATCTGGTGTTTTAAATCTTTTTTAGTGGCCAAAACATTCAAGAACTTCAGGCGATATGTGTATGACTATGAAACTGAGACCTTGAACGGTGTGAATGGAGCTACAGGCGATAAGAGCGGCCACAAAGTCTCCTGCAAAGTATGCATCACAGCCCTGATCAATACTGCAAACACAGAAGTCTTGTTACCCTGAATATAAAACAGTTGTACTCACAAAAAATGTTTGATCTGCTGCACAGGTTGAGGTTGATGTGCCCCAGACCTGTAGCTTCATCCTCCGCACAACAGAGTGCTCTCTGAGTGAGATTTCTAATGTGAACGAAGAGGGGGAACCAGTGTATTATACTGCTGCTGGAGCTGAAGCTTTCAGTGCTGCCATGGCCAAGTAAGCCACCTTTTAGAGGAAAGTTACATTAGTCACCTGTATTGTTTAGTCTTTAAACTGAGGACAGTAACCAAGGAAATAAAAGGAAAGGATGAGCTAAGTGGCAGGTTGTAAATGATGATCTGTCCATGTCACCAGGAACCCCTTGAAGATCACAGTTAATGGACAGCATCATGTCCATCTCTACCCAGAGGATGATGAGCCCATCAACATTCTGAACATCAAGAGGGGAATTGTCTCTGCTCTCATTGTGCCTGTAATAGAGGAACAGAGGAACAAAGAATTGGTAGCTCCCCTGCCTGTTTACTGCTTTTTTTAATGAGTACATAGTTACTAATCAATTGAGGCCACAGTCATCAAGCAGGGTTTGATTTTGTATCTGGAGAAGTCATGCAAAGATGAACAAGTTGCACAATGAGTAGATAAGCTGCCCAAGTCACAGGTGATAAATAACACGCCTGTAACATCATGTCCACAGAGTGACAATCTTCAGCAGCAGGTCAAAGTCCTAGATAAGTTTATCTTGTTAATGGCATCATCTGCTCTCATAATGGGGGACTATCTTTCAGATCCACTGATAATATTATCTACTGTTAATAAGACCAAAAAGCATGTTTACCACTCCAGCTGTTGCAACAGTGTTTTTGAATAGTCTCCCACTGTCTCAGTGGTGATGACCATCTGACCATCTCATTATTTTTAGCCTACTGCGCATGGGGTCTGCTCCACCGACTTCACTGTCAACACCAGAGAGGACATTGCTACTGATGTGACCATCAGCAGGGATCTTTCCAAATGCTACTTCTTCATTCCAGCGAGCAGGCTGAACACTAGTCCCCTGGCCCTCATCTCTGGCATGGTAACAACATAATGCTCTCATCGTCACAAACTAAGGCCAAAAATTAGATTGTGTATAGAATCTAAAAGCTCAAAGTATTAGGACTCACTTTTTGGTAGAAGCTGATTGTGGATATATACTGTATATTCAAAATCACATATTTACTGGAATCAAATTTTCACTGTATAAATAAAATGATGTATTACACATTTTACATAGTTACATTTTCAATTCTGCTATTTTTCCCAAGATGTTGGTCTTACTCATAACTTAATAAAACATTGATGAGGTCTTCTTGTCTACCATCAGAACAACCCTCTTTCCAAACTGATTAGTAGCATCCAGACCTGCAACTACAAGTTTGACAATCAGAAAAAGCACATGACCAGTGGAACCTGCACAGAGAAACACATCTTCCTGCCCTTCTCCAACCAGTAGGTTTTAAAAGACTTAAGTACCAGCAAAATAATAGAGTATTCACACCAATTATTTTAGACTCCCCTTGACAAATGTAAATCCATTTTAAAAATACATATTTTTTGATAGTTACTAATTTGTTAAATATGTCTTCTTTTATGCAAACAGGAATGAATATGGAATTTCTGCGATGGTGAAACAGACTGTGACTCTGAGGGAGACTGCCAGGATCAATGACAGAATCTTTGACCACGGTGAGTGTTTCAGTGTTTAGAATAGGTTTTAAAATACTAAAATTGGCTCAGTATATCAAATGTGTTAAAATTCCTTTCACTTTCTTCAGATGAGAAAAACCTCAGATACTTGCCCATGGATTTTGCTGATGACAAGTCCCCTGTGCAGAGCAAGGATGCTGCCTTAGCCACTATGAAGCAGCTGAACACTCTGTCACAGACCACTAAGGGTGAGGAGCGTGCCATCCTCTTCCAGAAACTGGTGTCTGAACTGCGTGACCTGAAGGCTGACATCCTGGGGTCTGCTGCTGTTGAGATGATGGACGTGTCCAGCTCTCTGACATGGCAAGCTCTTGTTCAGTGTGGTTCCCCAGAGTGCACAAGTGCCATGCTGAAGATTCTCAGGACCTTTGATGAAAGTGTTCTTGAGGTTGATGCTGCTGTCTATGCCCTGGCATTGCTGCCTGGCTCCTCCCGCCTCATGGTGAAGGACATGCTGGCAATGGCTCAGTACAAACAGAGCAAACCCATCATGTATGCCCTGAGCAATGCAGTCAGGAAGTAAGTAAATCCACTTTTTTTATTAGAAGAAAGTTCTCTTCAGTATTATAGCAGTGAGTGGCGGTTTCTGTTCAACTAATCACTAATGTCTGACTTTGTTACTAGACTGTATAAGGATGAGGGAGTCACCCCTGAGATCACTGCTGTATCTGAGTTTGTGGCATCTCTTCTGGGCACAGACTGTGCTGGGGAAAAAGAGCTGACCTTCCTGACACTGAGGGTAGGTAACCAGCTGTCCAGCTGTCTAATATGGGCTAATGTTTTATGGATGCTTTTTTTTTTTTCAACTTTCTGGGCTATTCCATCCAGGTTGTTGGAAACATGGGGGATGCATTGGAGGCTGCTGACCCTGCTATAAAGACCACCCTCCTGAAGTGCATGAGACAGCCTGCAACCACACTGCCTGTGCAGCTGGCTGGCATCCAGGCTTTCAGACGCATGTCTGTGACTGATGAGGCATGTTTACATCCCTGTCCAAAGATAAATAGTATCCCAATTTCCCAGTTATGTAGTGTAGAGTCTCTCTAAATACAGTGATAAATAAGTTACTGTGTTTTTCTATCCAGGTTCGCTCTAACCTTCAGAGGGTCAGCCAGTACTCTAAGGGTGCTGTACAAAAGCGCTTGGCAGCTTACCTGATTCTGATGAGGGACCCCCAGGACAGTGACATTGAGATGGTGAAGAAGATGCTCAAGCAGGAGCAGAATGAACAGATCAAAGCCTTTGTAACATCCCACATCTACAACATCATTTCCTCCACTGATTCAGAGACCCAGAAGTAAGAATGAAGCACCTTTCAACTGACAGCACAACTTAGGCCTTATTTCACAAACATAATGTGCTATTTCATAAAAATACTGTGCTTATTGTACACCTGAACAGCTTATATTCAGCTAATTGTTTTACAATAAATTTTTCCCTCAGGATCGGCATGAAAATAATGGATGCCCTGCACGACACTGATGTTACTACACACCACGACTACAGCACAAAGTCTCGCAACTACAAACTGGGTGTGGCACATGGGAGCATGCAGGCCAGCATGCAGGGAAACATTGTCTTTGATCCCAGTAGTCAGTTGCCCAGGGAGGTCTTGCTGGAAACTACTCTGAAAGCTTTTGGATTCAACATGGACATTTGGGAGGTATGTAATACCTACGATACTACTTACTGGAAAGAGTATCAAAACTATATTTATAGAGTCTTCTTATTATCAATTTTTGCTATATTCGACTCCCAGTCTGGCACTAAAATGAAAGCTAAATAGGAGTATTTGGCCCAGATCCAGACTTTCACACACTAAATCCGTTGTTTATAATCTAATTTTGCTGGTAGATTGGCATGGAAGGAAAAGGCTTTGAGCCAACCATTGATGCATTGTTTGGAGAGAATGGGTTTTTCCCCGACACTTTGTCCAAGTCTCTGTACTGGGTTGATGACAAGATGCCACCAGCGATCAAAGAATTTCTGGAGAATTGGATTATTGCCATGAAACCGGAAAGACAGGTATGTAATTATTTGTGTCAAATGATCTTAGTCTAGGTTATTTTATCATCTCCACTGCTACCACCCTAACTAATACAATGGAACTCCTTCCCAAGGTTCCCAAAAATCTTGTGAAAGAAATTACGAACAATTTCAACAAACTGGTAAAAGCTCTGCAGAGTCAAGAGTCCCCAGAGGCCATGGCCTACCTGAGGATCATGGGAGATGAGCTTGGCTACATCAAGGGCAATGAACTGAAGTCTATTGCTGATAACGCAATGAAGTATGCAGAGATTTTAATGAAGATGATTCCTACCAAGGTACTGTTCTGTACTCCTGTGATCCATTTTATATAAGGCCTGTTCAACAAATTATAACAGTTTCTTTCTCACATCAAATTGGCATTCATATTGACTGTTGCTCCTTTTTATCAGGTCATAGCTAAACTGATTTCCAGCACAGACAATGAGATTTTTGCCCACTACATCTTCATGGACAACAGATTCATCATGCCAACAGCATCTGGCTTGCCTCTGAAATTTGCTCTGTCGGGTACCTTCACTGCTGGTGCAAAGGGAGGCCTTCACATTTCACCAAACATGGTACATTTTCCATTTTTTGTCCTCAATCTGTCCTTCCTGCTCCTATAAAAAACTAGTGGTAGGTTTAGAAATCAGCTGTTTTTGTTTTAATTAGTTACTTCCTGTCAAGTATCTTGTGTGTTTGTAAAATGTGTGATAATAAGAACAATGGTAATTAAATTCTAGTTGTAGAAGTACACTAATTATTGTTGTAGCAGCAGTGATCATTTGATATTTTTAATTTTTGGAATCTTTTTTGCAATCAATTTCATGTGATATGCTTTTGTTTACAGAACGAGCTGCTGTTCATGCCTTCAGTAGGAGTTGCATTTGTGACTCAGATGGGAATCCATATCCCTGAATTTGTTGTGTCCACTGTTGAGATGCATACCAACATATACCATGAGAGCGCACTCAATGCCAAGATCACCATGGAGCAGAACCAGATCAAGCTTTCCATCCCCACCCCGCAGGGCACCACAAAGCTCCTGAGAATAAGGTAACAAATAACATCAAATGCACTCATGTATTATATTCAAAGAGTAAATGTTTTATTTGGTTGTGTTGCTTCATCTTTTGTGGACCTGCTATTGACTACAAGCAGGTGATCTTAAAACTTTGAAGAAAAATTTTTCTGTAACAAGATACATCATCAGTATAGAACAAAGCCATTAGCATTGGTGCTTCAACATGTGGAACTGACAAAGTTATTAGATGACAGGAGCTAATTTTGATGTGCTTTATCTGAAACAGCAATGAAGTACTGATTGTGGGTGCTGGGACGGCTACAACAATCCCACACACACAGGCCAAAACTGACTGCCGCCATCTTTTCTATGGAGTCAGTTACTGCTTCGAAACAGATCATCGTGATACCAGTGGCAACACTGCTGCTCCTCTGAATGGCAAGAATGTGTAAGTCATTTTTTGAAGCATGTATGATTATTTTGTCAAGGTAGCATACCTGACTGCAACATATTATATTATTATCATTCTAAGTCACAAAAATTAAGTGGAGTCTTGCCAATGTGATAGGACACTTTTTTTTTTTTTTTTAGATAATATTAATTTAAATGGAGGTAGTGGCAAGGTTCTGTTGAAAAGTACAAAAAAGTACTTAGGGTGGATAAAGGTATGAATAGCCAAAAGAGCACCACCTTTATTCATGTCACTTTTCTTTATTAAATAATACATTATGTATGATAACAGGGCGAGAATAGAAAAGTGGGAAGATGTTAGAAAATTGGAAATGGTGTTGTAATTAGATTTGTATGCATACATATACTGATAAGCCATTCAAGGGCAAAGAATACTGTTCAGTCAAATTTTAGTACTATGTAAGAAGGGCCTTTGTATTTTTTGAGGTACACAATACAATATTATAGAAGATTTATATGAAAACTGTCAGGTTTAGCATGTAAGGACGCCAAATGGTGTTTGTGGTGGACTCAATTATAAAACCAGACAAACTGATGTAGAGAAAGGTTCTTTTATTTGTTGCAACCAGACAACCAATACACAGTCCAGGATAACAATCAGGTCGATAAGACAGTCCAGGGTCAGTGTCGGTAAACAGGTATAGCCAGGAGATCCAAACTCGAGACGTCAAGGGGAATAAATCAGAAGGTCGGTACACTGCAGGCAATCAGAAGCTGGGAGGGCATAGGCAAAACACGGTGGTCAAAAACAGTAATCCAAGGTCAGAAACAGAGAGTCAGGCAAGGTATAAATGCTGGAGAGTCAGAGCTGGAGTCTAGAACAATCTGGCAGCATCCTTGTGGGAGGACGCTGCCTAAATAGAGGTGTAAACAGGTGTAAACTATTGCGAATGATGAAGAAAGTACAGTAAAAAGACCGAAACTGTGGTGAAACAAAACAGGAAGTAATGTCAAAATAAAAGCCAGACAGGAAGCAGCGGAACTGATTCATGACAAACTCATCAGGGCGTTATTCTTTTGGCCCTAGGTTTACTGTAATCACCGAGCCTAACAAAGATGTCCATGAGTACACCGCCACTATTGCCTATAACCTCCTCAGTGAAGGGAAGGACAGCCGCCACAAGGTTGATTCTTTGAAGATGACCCTGAGAGCTGAAGGTATAAATATCATATTTGGAATAAAAATATATCCATCTGTTTTTCTATATCAGTCTTCATTTTTCATTTTTTAGGTTTACATATGTTAGTAATCAAATTCTACTTTTTCTAACTCTATGGCTTTAGGTGATCAACCTCGTGAAGCTTCAGCCACCATGAAGTACAACAGGAACAGAAATGTCTTCACAACCCAAATCCAGATACCTGACTTTGATGTTGAAGTTGGTGCTAAGATTGGCATTACGGACAGCAGTTCCAAAGGCAAATCCATTACCCTTGAAATCTCAAACAAGAATGTGCCCCAGCTCTCTCTGACTGGTCGTGCCAAGTGAGTAAAACCAATCCTTGCTTAAATACTTTGTCAAAAAATAATCAATCTTACCTAAAGCTTTAGTCATTCTCATATTCTGCAGTCCTTCAGTCCTTATGCAAATGTTTGATATACAGGCTAGACTGTGTTTTTTCCCCCTTTTTTTGAAATTTATCACAGGCTTCAGGCAATGAATGATGGCATGCTGCAGGTTCAGCTTTTAGTCCCTTCTCTCAAAACTGATGCTGCCATCACTGCTACCATGAGCAAAGCTGACGGACTCACCATGGAGGTCAGAAGTGATGTCAAGCTCCCAGGGACCTCTTCTAGTCAGGCAGTCATATTCAATTATGGTATGTCCCTTTAAAAAATAATGCTAGTAGATTAGGCTTGATAATTTCAGGCATTTGTCCAACACTGTCTCAAACATAAAAGTAAAATCTTAAATGCTTTGTATCTCAGGCGAGGACCAGGCTGAGGTTCAACTGATTTCCAGCATGAGTGCTATTACTGAAATCCTGGTGCCTTGCACTAAAGGCCTCCAGTCCTGGCTCAAGAAATCTGTAGAGGATGTCATGGATCAGAGGGTTGTCAAGACTGACATGAAACTGCATCATATCTTCAACAAAGCAGTTGAGGTGAAAAGAAAATTTGTGTAAGAACTTGACTTGAGTTCTAGTTTTTCCAGTCTGAAGCATGACAAATGTGGTGCTTTTTTTATCAGGCTAGCAATATCTGGATGAACAAGATCACAACTGATGTTCCATATGTGGAGACTCTGAAGAACAGTATAGGAAATGTGGAAATGCCCTCCATGCCTGAAAATCTGTTCATGAACCTGTAAGTGTAACACATATTCAGTAAACCAAATTAGGATTTACTGATTTAAGAAATTGCAACTTTATGCTGATTACATCATAAATAAGTGCAGTAGTATTTATTCTCCAGTAAAATGTCTATACCAACTTTAACAAATGTTCTGTCTTCACTTTTTCCTCAGTACAAGTACATTCAGATACCAGTTCAACCAAGACCATTTGACCATCAGAATCCCCCTACCTCTTGGAGGCAGATCATCTGCAGAGCTAGGGATATCTCCAAAGGTCACCTCCCCACGCATCTCTATGCCTCAGGTGGGAATGGACTTTGATCCACAGGAGATTCAGATCCCCACCTTTACCATCCCTTCTGAATATGATCTCACTCTGCCTCTGATGGGAATGGTGGAAGTGTCTGCCAAGGTCAACAGTAACTATTATAACTGGGAGGGAATGCTATCTGCTGGCAACAATACTGAACTGTCTCCTAGCTACCAAGCAACCTTCAATGTAATGGCTGACAGCCCAGTCAAACTCCTGTCCTTCTCAGCTAAAGGTAATTTAATCTTTATTCTTTACAAATTATATATTTGTTGTTAACACAAAAGAAAGAAGATACTAATTAGTATTTTACTGATTTGTCTATTTTAAAGGAGCTACAAAACTCACAGACACAGCAGAGAAAACTATGAAATTCTCCATTGAGGGTTCCCTGAACCACATGCTCATGAGCACAAGTTTTGATCTCATGGAAAGCATTGCTGTCACAGATAATGTACTAACAACAGGAAGGTACAATTTCTATGCTGATGCCCCTATGGGTCTGGACACGTCTCTTACTATTACCACTCAGTCCACCCTAGACACAAACATGCTTTTTGGAGATGTCAATGCAGATGGAAGTGTTATTATTGGACCTATGGCTGCTACCACTACCTATCGCCACACCTTCTCTGTTGAGCGAGCAAAGAAAGAAGCAAGAGTGGAGAGTACCCTGAGAGTGGATTCTAAGGCCATGAAGGCTGTGAACAAGATGAAGGCATCATATGCGAATGACGAACTTCTGATCAAATCTAACACCAACATGAACATTGACCTCATCGAGCACAACACCGAAATGAGTCTTAGCTACAAGAATGCCAAGCTTATTGCCCAGTCTGACTCTGTGACCAAAGCTAATGAGAGAATGCTTCGTAACCAGATGGAGTTCTCTGCCTTTGGAGGACATGCCAGCCTCAAGATAGAGAATCAAGCAGGTGATACAGTGAACCGTGTCTACACTTTGCTCACTGGGTCCATGAACCCCTCTGGCTTTGAGATCAATACTGATGCTTCTATGAACATCTTTTCAAGCATTGCCTCTCACAAGGCAACCTTAGGTCTGAACATGAATGGCCTGACTACCAGCTGTACAACAACTGCTCAGTACAGCCCAATGACCTTTCAGAATATTTTCCTTGGTGGAGTTGACACCTCTGGTGCCACCATGTCTCTCACAACCAAGGCAGCCATTAAGGAGAACAAAGCTGATCTCAAAGTTGAGGGTAAAATTTTAAGCACAGAAGTCTATCTCAATGGCATGTTTGAGGGAAACCTCTTTGACATCAATGCCAGGAACAGAGTGAACCTCAGAATGAATGAAAATGGCTTGACAGCCTCCAATGACATGGTTGGATCTTTCAATGAAATTAGGACTGAAAATACCCATTCACTGTCTCTTACACTGAGATCATTTACCCTCCACTCTAAGACTGACAATGTTCTTGACAAGAGGAACTCTTACATGCATGACATTACAGTTAACATGGAGCATTTTACCGCCTCCGTTATTGTAAAAAATGACCTGAAAATCATGGAGATAAACTTTTTGAATGAAGCCCAGTTCAAGGCACAGCCCTACAACATGGACCTGACTGGAATGATGAAGGGAGTTTTCTCACAGGAAGAGCTCAAGCACACCTATGAAATCAAGTTTATTGACATGGCCCTATTCGCAAAGTTGAAAACCAATGGTAAACTCCTCGGATCTCAGATGACACATACCACTGATGTGGAGGTTGCAGGTCTGACTATGAAGTACAACAACGTGGCTAAGTTCAACTCACCATCACTTCGTCTGGACAGCACAGTCAAAACTGCTGCAGCCCCCTTCACTCTGAACATTGATGCCATATTCAATGCAGATGGTGCAGTACATCTCTATGGACAGCAGAGTGGTGAAGTATATAGCAAATTCCTCCTGAAAGCAGAACCCCTGCTGTTCACTCATTCATTTGAGTACAGAGCTTCCACCAGTCATGAACTGGAAAGCAGACCCACTATCAAGACCAGTATGGAGAACAAGTTCAACAGCATGGTGAGCCTACAAGAACAAAGTGTCATGCTGAAGCTAACATCCAAAGTAAATGAGCACAGGTTTGATCAAGAAATGAGTGCCTATAACAATGCAGAGAGAATTGGTATTGAGATGACAGGAGCAGTCTCAACCCCCCTCTTCAGTGAGGCCAGTCAAGATTATGCCATCTCTGGGTTTGTAAAATATGACAAGAACAGTGACAGCCACTTCATCCAAATCCCATTCATTGAGCATCTGCCTGCAGTCATTGAAAATGTGAAGACCACAATGATGAAGCTGTTGGATCACAGTATTGAGATGCTGAAAGACATCAACAACAAATATGAGATTAGTACTGTAGTTCAGAACAAAGTGTCAAAACTGAAAGAGTTCATTGACAACTTTGACTTTGGCCTCTTTGTCGAAAACCTGAGAAAGTTTATCAATTCAGTAGAGGATTTCATTACCAAATTGACAGGCGACTTCCCAACTGACAAAATCATACATTTCCTAAAATCCATCAAGGACACTGTCATGGATTGGATCAATAAGCATAACATTCCTAAAAAATTCAGCGCAATTTATGCCAAAATAGAAGAGATCCTCTCCAGTTATGAGGTTGAGAAGATGATTGGTGTCATCATGGATGAGATTGTTAAAATCATGAAGCAGTATCAGGTGAGGGAAAAGATCCAGTCTGCATTTGGTGCTCTCAAGTCAATTGACATCAAGCCTGTGCTCAAAAAGGCTATAGTGCCTCTTCAGAAGCTTGTGAATGAACTATATTCCTTTGACTTCAAACAGCTGATTGATGACATGAGTGACTATTTCATTGGAATGATCCAGAAAATAAAATCCTTTGATTATGATGCATTCACTATGGAGCTAAAAGAGAAAATGGCAGATGTGAGCAAGATTCCCTGCTTTGGAAAACTCTATGGAGAGTTCAGAGTTACCTCACCACATTACACACTCAGAACCACTGCTAACCTGGAGAACACCACAGCTACATCAGTCACACCAGAGTTCAAAATAAATCTTAACTCAAAGGCTAAATCTACTTTAGAAGTCCTTGACTTCATGTTGGATGCCAGTGCACATTTTGCTATGCCCGAGATGAATAGTCTTACTATCTCTGAGAACATTAACGTTGATCAATCTTGTTTTACACTTGACCACAAAGGAACAATGACTCTCTATGAAGTGTCGGTTCAAGCTTCTTCTGCAACTACTGCAAAGGTAACAACAAAGCGCTATGTAGCAGAGCTTGTCAATAACGCAGCCTTTACCATGGACAATAGAGTTTCTGCCACTATAGAAACTGGCTACAAACATGACCTCAACATGCCATCCCTCAACATCTTCAGTGAAACATCAATGAATCAAAAAACTGTTTTCCTGCTTGAGTCTGGCACTGTCCATCTGACCTTTAACAATCTGGCCAATGAAATATATGCAATTCAGGATTTCTCAGATGCAATAAACCACAAGAGTGACATGGAAGTGGTCATGGATCTTCACACAGCCAAAGTAACTTTCACTGGAAAAACAGGCCAAAAACACTTCAAAATGAATCAAAATGTGGTTGCTGAGGTGTGCATCTTCCGCCACTTAATTGTCAATACCAAAGTTGAGACAGAAACACCTTTCTTAAAGAACAGCGTTGCAGAGGTCAAGTTCCAGGCTAAGGCTGAAGACATGAAAATTGATTTGACTGCATCTCACACTGTGGAGCTGGTTGGACCAGTTGGGGGAACTCTTTCAAGCTCTGTCCTTGCTTTGATCACACCTAACGAGCTTATGTTTGACACCAAGAACAAGGGAAATACCAAGGTTTCCCTTCCATTCAAGCTGTTTGGAAAGATGGATCTCCAGAATGACATTGCGCTTACCCTTAACTCCAAAATTCAGCAAGCTAGCTGGATAGGCCTGGCAAGATTCAACCAGTACAAATACGCCCATTACTTCATCATGGATAATGGCGAGAGAGAAATTAACATATTTTCCCAAATTAATGGAGAAGCTAATCTTGATGTACTGAAGGAACCTATCACCATTCCTGAAATAGCTCTGCCATTAATTCGTATGCAAACACCAAGAGTGCAAGACTTCTCACTGTGGGAGGATACTGGCCTGAGCTACCTCCTAACCACAACTCAGCAGACATTTGACATGAGCTCCAAGCTGAAGTACACAAAGAACCCTGAGGTGACAACCATTGGCATTGATGTGGATCCAGTCATCAGTGTCATTAATACCAATATCAAGAATCTGTACAATAAAGTGGATAGGGTCGGAGCCATTTTTGCTACATCTTATGACAAAGCAAAGGCAGAGTATGAAAAATATAGCATCAAGTTGCCCAAAACCATTACAGTGCCTGCTTACAAAGTTCCAGTGATGAATGTTGAGATGTCTACCTTCACAGTTCCCCTGCCTGATGTCAGTCTCGCCGCAATGCCTGCTCTTCATGTTCCGTCTGCCCTCAGCACCCTGACTCTTCCAAAAATCACTCTGCCCAAAATGGGGACAATTACAGTCCCACGAATGGGTGACCTAATCTATGAGTTCTCCATGAAAACAGCAATGATTACACTCAAAACTAATGCTAGCATTCTCACCCAGGACAGCATTATAATCAAACTAGATGCTTCTTCATCCTCTGAATTTGAGATTCTGACTGGAAAGATTGAGGGCAAAACCAATGTGGACACAGTTGGTGGATTCAAAATGGCCTCTGTCCTGTCTATGAAGCATTCAATGGCAGAGGGAAACCATGACAGCACCATCATCATAAATTCTGAAAATGTGGATACCTCCATCACCAATTCAGCAAAGGTCAATCTACCTGACTTGGCAGTGGAAATCCACCAGGAGTTTACCGGAAATTCAGAGACAGGCCTTGTTGCTTCTATGTCCACTCCATCTGCGGGACTCATTGCAGTTCAGATGCAGACTAAGCACCCAGCACAAGTGAAAGCAAGGGTCTATGGTCGCTACCCGGTAGGTAAACTTTTTGTTATTGATTTGGCTTTTAGTTACCCAAGACTGTGACTTCAGTGCAAATGGTGTATTCATATTTTATTTTTGTTTGTTTGTTTGTTACACAGTCTCAGCCAAATACAGACATTAATATATTGGGTCTGAAGATGTCTTTGGTGAACTCTGAGAAGCTGAACATTCAGACAACCTGGAACATGGAGATACCATATGAGGTGCTGTTGGGACTGAAGAAACAGGTACCCACTGTCATAGAAAATGTGTCTGATTGTGCTGGCAGGACCTATGACAAAATCCACAAACATGCCAGCTACCTCTGGGATTCTATTGAACGGGCTGGAAAGCAAGGTAAAGTGATGTTCAAGAGGGCAGTTGACAACTTTGCAACAGTTAATCCATCTAAGCTTATGACAGCTGTCACAGAAAAGACCATTGTGATCCTCAAAGAATACCAAAAGAAAGTCGAAATTGTTCTTAATGCTATTGTAAAATTCTTGAAAGAGACCACGTTCCAGGTCCCTGGGTATGAAGATAGGCTGTCTGGGCTTGAGATCTACCAGAAATGCAATGCTTTTGTTGTCAATGTATTTGAGGAGGCTGTTCACAAGATTTCAGAGTACTATGCTTTCATGTTTACTGCAGTCCTTGATAATTTCCAAGGCATTAAATTCACCCTTCCTGGCTCCAATCACATTGTCAATGGAAAAGAAATTCTTGATGACTTGTTTTTAGCTCTGAGGAAAATGCAGGACCAAGTGATTGTCACTGTGAGGAAAGTGGGAAAGATCCAGCTGGAAGACATCATTAAGAAATTCTCAGTATTTATGCAGTTTATCATTGAACAAAGTGAAAGGTTTCTCCAAACCCTAAAATCTCAGAATGTAGAGAAGTTCTCCAACTTTGTGACTGATGTGTACAATGATGTTATTAACTCTCCTGTCCTGGTTGATATTTCCAAGCAGTTGTCAGAGGCCTACAGAATTGTTATGGAATATTTAAAAGCTGTGACAGCTAAAATTCAAAATATTTTGGCTGACATGTCTAGTGAACAGCTTGAAGTTTACATCCAGTCCTGGATTGACTCACTGGTGAAATATGTTAATACCTTCCACACGAATGCCATTAAAACACTTAAGGAAAAAAGCAAAAATGTTGAACCCTATGTGAAAGTAAGTGACAGACAGATGGAGGTTGACATTCCTTTGCCATTTGTTGCCAAATTCAATTAACTGACCATGGATAAAATGTCAAAACTTGTCAGGAGCATTGCCAGAGCATTGCGACATGTAATGGACAATACTTACCCTATGTAAGTTAAAAGTTTATATTTGACCCGCATTTTTTGACGTGTGTAAGATGCTACGCTGACAGTATCTGTGCCTGTTGGCTTGACTTTATCATGCTAATTATGCAGTTAGCAACACAGAAATACGTGCTTTGTCTTCCACGCTGACAGTCCCTGTGCTGTGGATTACATTGTTTACGTTGGTTCTTTTTGTTCACCTGTCCGTTCTCATCCTCCTGCTATCCTGATTCCTGCCATTAGTGTGTATGTGTACCTGTTCGTCCTGGTCTCCTTAGTCATCACTGCCTTTCCTTTGTATGTATTATGGACCCTGTTATGTTGTGTTTATTCCATTAAACCTCCTTTTTTGTACTAGCACCTGGATCAGCCATCTTGAGTCCAACCCCAGTTCTCCCTCACCCTCCGGGTGAGGGGGACTAAACCATAACAATACTGTATAATATCATGTTTGTATTGCCTGTATCCATTGTGTCACCATCAAGACAATAGTGAATATGTACTACCAAAAAATACAACACTGCATGCTAACAACTGTTTTCTGTACCCAAGATACTTGTCTCTCTCCTGTTTAACATTAGACTCCTAGTTGTTGTAATCCTACCATGCTTACTTTGTGCCTTGTACTATTTAAAAGAAAATATGCAGGCTTCAATAAAGACTGTTTGTACTGCATACATCTCTGTGCATTTCTTATGTTAACATATAGGTCTAAAACCTTAACTTCTTGGCATGCTTGTAAACAAAGAGGACACACTGTTAAGATTTTCATCAGAATGATAATTCCTCCAAGACTGTCTTATAAAGGAAGTCACTTTCGGCTTTTCATGTTTAGGGGTCGCCACAGTGAATCGTCACACTGACAACTTGCATGTTGACATTTGGCTGGATTTGGCCGGATGCCCTTCTTGACACAACCCTGATTTGAACCCACGGCGCAGCGGCGAGAGTGCTGCGCGTTAACCACTAGCCTACCAGGGACGGCCTATGTTATGATATACAGAAAGATCATCATTTATCCTGACTTGACAGCTTTACTCAAACCTAAAGCCTATAAGTACATATGCTTCAAGAATCCCCTATTGTACTGAAAGGGACATAAACAATCTGAAACACTATTGTCATCATTTGGAAGTTACAGGTTGAAAAAATTAACTCAAGTGAACACTCAGTCAATCAAACCTCAAGGGTCCATAAAAAAGAAGAAAAAAACAAAAGTCTAAAACTTGAATTTTTCTTAAGATGAAGCTAAAACTTCAAACCAGATGTCTTTGTCTTAGAATAACTGTCAAAGAATACTGGATGCCCTAAGTCTGTTATGTCCCTTGTATCTAGCTAAACAGCTACATATAATTAGCACAATTAAATACGATAGAATTGCTAAGTTATACAAGGCAAGTTACATTTTCTTGAATTAAGTCAAACAGCCTTGCATAGTCAGCACTAGATGTTTCAATCCATGATCAAAACAAGTCAGTCTGCATTTCAAATTTAAGATTGCAGTATCTTAATTGAATTAGACAGAGTTTTGACAGTGTAGTTCATTAAATAACCATACCAAACACACTATACTATACTATACTATACTATACTATTTAAATGTTTATACACCCCTGTCATATGCCCATTAATCACTTGTATCCTCCTCAGGTCTAAATCTAGCAAAGACATAGCCTATTTTCTGTGACACATGCTCTCTGATTGTAAAACAATGAGAATGTGAACCATAGATACAGGGTCAGTTTGACAGCTGTTGTTAACAAAAGTAACAAGTCAAACCCTAAAATGTATTTCCCTTTGGAATACATAAATTATTTTTTCAGACATGTAATCCCAAGCAGTGGTAAAAGAAGTATTCAGGTCCTTTTCTTAAGTAAAAGTAAAAATACAACAGTGTAAAAATACTAAATTCCAAGTCCTTCATTTGTAATCTTACTTAAGGACAGGTAGAAAAGCATTATCAGCAAAATGTACTCAAAAGTAAAAGTACTCATGAAGCAGGAAAAGTCCCCAGTGCCCTGTCAGGTTATTAAGTATACAGATAGATAGATAGATAGATAGATAGATAGATAGAATATAAAATACAAAGATACTCAAGTGCAAGTACTTCAAAACTCTACTTAAATAAATAGCTTACTTATTTCCACCACTGATCATGAGGCCTATATTAATAGCAATATTTTGGATAAACATGTCCTGTGTGAAGCATAAAAAAGCACAAATGCGAGGGATAATGAAATTCAAAATATACCAACCCAGTTCATATATTTGTCAACAGATATATAATTATTCTTTAAAGCATATTGAAAGTAATAGTAACTGCAACAATACAATAACAGTGGATCTTTAGTGTGAGAAGATGAGGCAAAAGAATGAAAGTAGAGATGGTGACACATTTATTTTTTTTATTGACTTTCCCACAACAGTACCACTTGTTCCGTCACAATGAATTTTGTTTTTCCTGATAAAATTCCACTGTAGACAATCTACCATTCAAACCTAGAAGGTATTATGTAATTACATTAAGGTGGTCATAACTTAAAAAAAAAAAAACATTGCACAAAGATTTGGCACATTTTCAGCATTTTTCTTCTTTGCATAAGCATAAGCATAAACTGTATTGCCAAGTATTATCAAAAATACAAGGAATTTAACTCCAGCCCAATGGCCCCCGATGTGCACAGCAATAAAAACAAAATATATACAAGATAAAAAGCACAAGTTTGTGGTTCCATTGTTATATTCAAATAAAGGAGAAGATGAAAACTTTACTGACTGATTAGTGAATAATAACCTAACAATATTGGAAATCAGAGGAACATGAGAGAGGGCAGTGTGGGAAAATTAGCTAGTTCAGCACAATGTGTTCCTGTCCTGGAAGTCAGCACAAAACCCAGCAACAGAAGGCAGGCAGGAATGTGACTTTTATACCATCGTAACTCTGGTTGGATTGGTATAAGCTACTCTTTAAAACTCTGGTTACTCTGCTGTGATTCCTTATTAAACTGCAGGAAAATCATGTTTAATGTAAAATTGAGCTTTTTGTCTTACTGTACATCTACTAAGGTTTTCCTCCAGTGTAGCAACACTCTGTGTTAATTGATGTTCATAGCTGTCACTTGAACAAGCACTCCCAAGGAGACAATTACATTCTGTATAGACACAGATCAAACACAAGCTGAATTTATTTTACAAAAATGAAAAATTAGCTCAACTACATAAATGTCTGTTGCTAAATTTAAAGCTTCTACAGTGTTTTTGACCAAATAAACTTGAGGTACATTCACAGAATAACATCAAGATGGAAAGTTTATCTTTTTTTCTCAACCAGTCATGATTCAGTTTTACTGTTTACAGCTTAAGAAAAAAAATAAGGTTAGAGCTAGTGTTTTAGTCAAAGGGATGCCCTTTTATTAAGCTTGAGTCATTATTTTAAGATTGTGGTTATAATAACGCAACATATGATTCATTTCCATTTTCCATTACATTTTATGGGAGTGTGCTGCAGGCTCACAGAGCTCTCCTTTTATATCACTTTCCAAGGAAACATGTTATATTCTAGGCCATCTCACATCCTCATTCTCTTCACTTAGAAATATCACCCACATAACTGTGAATGAATCTGTAGCCAATTTAAAACTGTCCTTGAGACAGCGGAAATGTTCACAAACCTATGAAAGCTAGCTCTGAACTTCACAGTTTGGAAACATGGCGAGATGCTATATGTCCTTCAAATGATTTAGCTCAGGTGAGCTGTTAGACAGGGCCGGCCCGTGACATAGGCAAAATAGGCAGTTGCCTAGGGCGCAAAATGACTGGGGGGCGCCACATGAAAGGTTTTTTTTTCTTGGACCAGCATGTGCTCCTACACCCATAAGCAAAGTAATTACTGACAGTTAACAATTTTAGTACTGATTGATCATTGTAGTGATTAAAATGTTAGAATAAAATAAACTTGACATCAGTGAAAAACCGTAAGATTTGAAAACATGTCATGTACTAATTTCAACACTTTCTGCTTCATGACGTAATTATAACGCATCATCATAGCGCATTGACAGTGCATGGAGCATGCAGTTAAAATATGTGCTCTGAAAGTGCCATTTTAAAAAAATGTGTGAAAAAAAAGAAAATTATCAGGGGCACAAGGCAAGAAGCGACACAAAGAAGAGGAACGGAAAAAAGAACAATATAGATATGGGTGGCACGGAGGATAAGTGTGACTAACCAGCGAATGTGACAGCTGCAGAGAGGAGCTTTTCAAAGCTCAAGCTGATTAAGACCTACTTGAGGTCTACCATGGCCCAAGAGCATCTCAGTGGACTTGCTGTCATCAGCATCAATAATGATGGTTCTCAGAATTTGTCATTTGATGCAGTCATTGTTGACTTTGCTGCAAAGAAATCCAGGTGTGTTCAGTTTTGAAACTGTTCTGTAATTCTGAATATAATATTTTTTGCACTTTTTTGTTGATTTGTACTTTAATTTCTAATTTAATTTTTGTGTGACTCTTCAGGTTACTGAAGTCAAATTAATTTATTATCACAAATTATTTACTACTTATTTATGTTAACACTTATCAGTATGTAATGTTATGTTATGTTATATTCTAGTAAAGTTTTGAAAAATCTGCATTTTCTGAATTTTTTAAGGGGGGGGGGGATCTAAAATCTCGCCTAGGGCACCAACAGAACCTTGGCTGGCCCTGCTTTTAGACAAAATAATTATCCACCTTTACTAGCTGTACTTTTTGTATTATCTTTCCTTTCATTGTTTTAATAATCCAAATTCAAAAAGCACCCATTAATCAATGTCCTCCCAAACCAAGTCACTGTTAACCACAACAAAGCATAAAATCTGCAGAAGCATACTTAGCAGTCCTAGAACAGCAATGTTCATGGTAACACAAGTACAGTAATTGTTTGTTTGTCCACTTAAATGTAACCTCTACTCCGTTAGCCCTTTTCAGTACTGGACAAATTTAGCCTGTTGCATATCAACTATTTAACTAGGCATTTAACACTGTGGAGTCATATCCATACTTACTGGATGTGGTTCCAACTAACAAACCTGAGAAAATGGATTTCATTATTAACTGTAAACTCAATCTATATTTGTATTAAAATTGGCATAAAACAAAACTCTGTAAATTGGTGTCCAGATGCTGTGCAATTTCTCAAACGTATTACTATCATTTTACAATACATAGCAGACATAAATGGAGAGTGCATTTTTTTACTGCTTTGCTTATGACAAAGTATAAACGTGGCAGTAAGGCAGTGACCTATATGCAAACACTGAGAAACAAACCCCCCCCCCCCCCCCCGCCAGCCAGACTGGAACCATGTGACCCACAAAGGACATGTTGTAACCAGTGCATTTCACACACTCTGAAATCACATGATTATTAAATGTGTTCAAAATAAGTCCTTCGTTTACAGCCATTCGTTTTGGTACAGCCAAAGTCGTCTGATTACAAGGGAGTACTCAAACCATGGTAACTTCCCTTACATGTTCAGACACAGATCCCGGTGATGGAAAAGTCTGTGCGTCACAGTTCACCAGACATAGTCGATTCACATCAGCGCACAGCATTTCAGACAATCACTTGAAGGTATTTTTCGTTTTTGTAAGGCTGCCCGTGTTGCAGTTTCGAATACTTCCCAGATCCCCTCCTTGGTTTTGGCAGAGCACTCCAAATAGTCATATGCGCCAATGCGCATGGCCATGGCCCGGCCATCTTCTGTTTTCACTGGCTCTAGCTTTAGCCGGGACAGCTCGTTCTTCACGTTCTCGTCGTTGCGCAGATCCTTCTTGTTGGCCACTAATATAATGGGTACATTCGGACAAAAGTGTTTGACCTCTGGGACCCACTTTTCAGGGATGTTTTCCAATGAGTCCGGGCTATCCACGGAAAAGCACATCAAAATGACGTCAGTGTCCGGATAGGAAAGGGGGCGCAGCCGATCATAGTCCTCCTGTCCAGCTGTATCCCACAGAGCTAGCTGGACTTGCTTGTTGTCCACTTCTATATCCGCCACATATGTCTCAAACACAGTTGGCACATAGACCTCAGGAAACTCGTCTTTGCTGAATACAATCAGTAGACATGTTTTCCCACATGCGCCGTCCCCCACAACGACGAGTTTCTTGCGTATATCTGCCATTCCTGCCTCTTTCCTAGCTCTCGCTCAAATGTATCATCCAAAACACAAACCCGTTGTGCCGCACAGCTTTTAAACTACAAACGAAAATGGACAGCCTTTAACCAAATGTCGATCGCGTCTCAAGAATCTTTACCAGCTACCACTGCGATGTCTTTATAAAGCAGAGGTGGTTTCCTAAATATAGCAATCCAATCGGTAATGGGGAAGTGAGATCACTGTTTGTAATGGGAGCGGTGATTGGGTCTCAGTAGTTTTCTTATGTAGAGGAGGGTCATGGACCACGAGGACCCACCCGACCCAGGATCAGCCAAAATTAGTCACATCCAACTGCACAACGATTTGTTGCCCGATGTTTCTTTGTATTTCTCATTTAAGTGAGTTCTGTTAAACCCGTCTTACACAGGAATTATTGTTTTAGTCTTACTTTGTTGCTGAATCAAATCAAAAAACCAAAAACATCACATCAAAAAACATATTTCATAGACTATCCCGGAGCAATATGAGTGAGCTTTTTGGGGGGGGGTGAGTGTGATGCTAAGCTAATTTATAAAATGTAGGGTGGCAGTTTGCTAAAGACATTAACTACACAATGAAGCAGATTTGTGTCACCTTTACGTATGGTGTATAATAGGTATATTGTGAAGGCACATTTACATTGTTATATGCATGTCTACGTAGTTCACGCTATTTACAGGGAGGGGGCACTAGTGTAGGCAAACTCTTAGCTTTGAATCACCCTTGCTAAATCACCGCTCTCTCCACGGAAACAAAACAATTTAGAATCGGGTTGAAGGTGTCCAACGAGCATAGACCCTCTCTTGACACGACAGCGCGTGAGTATCTCATCTTTATTTGTTCACATCGAAAGCGACAGCTCTTTGAAACGACAATCGTGGTGTGAGCATTTCCCCTTTTGTTTAGCGGTTAAGGCCCCTCTGTTTGGAACTTGAAGGGGGGCCATGTTGTTTAGCCACTGAGTGTTTGGTTAATGTTTTAGCTCACACAACACTAACTTGGCAGTTCGCTTGTGCTAGCCCGTACATTAGCTATTTATGCCTATAGTTATTTGGCTGATCGTAAACAGACACTGTGGTATTTAAGTTACAGCTCGTTTTCTGTAAAACACGAGGTAATGTCAGTTTATTGTAAAACGATTGTAAATTCACCATATAACAATGATGTCTAGCACAGACAGCCGATAATAAACACCGGGCCCGCTGTGGTTAGCCTTAGCTGGTTAGCTAAGGCTATTCACTCCAGTCAAGTAGCATTAGTCAACACTGAACAAGTTTGATTTCCGTTAGTAATGTTACTAATACGCGAAATAGCATAAACAATCATAGACTGCAAGGATACAAGCTGCTAGCCACGAACCTGTTAAAACCGACATTTGTGTAACGTTAACTACCCAGTTACAGCCACGAAGGTAGCTTGCTTATTATCAGCGATCTTGCTAGCTTAGCCAGCTAGCTTGCTGAAAGGCATGCAACAGCGACTAGTACTTCCTATTTGGATGTAAAGTTGCAGCTAGTTAGATAATTTAAAATACTGTGACAACTCTCGTTGTACCTAGAAATAACCAACGTTAAACGGCTGCCTTTGAGCGTCTTTTTAAAAGTAATTAATTTTATATTAGTGGCAGTGTTAGCTACATGGTCACCAGCTAACATTAGGCTAACGACAACGTTACCTCGTTAGCATTCTTTGTAATTTAGTGCAAGCCACTAGCATCCCAGTGAGCCACTTATTTTGTTCTTTCCTTGATCATTCGTAAATCAACAGATCGCTGAATTAGATTTATCATATATCGCTAACGTTCCGTTTTAGAGCTAGCAATATTACTATTTAACATTTGCTAAATTCTTCGATCGTGGAACTACCGTGGCATGGAGCTAGCAACTCAGGAATTAGTCATATTCCTGGCTTAGGAAATTAAGCTGTAACGTAACTATTTGTTATCAATTTAATATGCTTTTGGGCTCATCCTTTTCCAGAAATGTACCTCAAAAGCTGGTCTATCCAAAGGCTGACTGAGTAGTCAGCAGTGAAAGGTCATGTTGTAAATTAGAGGATTCCCATTAGGACACAGTAACTGTCATGACCGGTGCTACATTCATTTTAAGCAATTATGGGATTGAATTTAAATCATATGTGGGGCATTTGTGTCACACTGTCATAGACTACCAAGTCAGTCATATGTTATTATGTAGAACCTTATATAATGCATATACCCTCTGATAAGACTGAATATTCATGTAAACATAATACTCACGTTTGTATCTTTAAACTTGATACAGGTCAATTTGAGTGAAAATTATAATTTTAATAAGTCATCATGTTATATTTTGTTTAGGCTTTCCCGTGGAATGAGCGTTCCATGCAGCATCCTAGGTATGAATGACGTGGCCTGGCAGGAGACAAGAGGTGGGATGCTGCATGCAAATGGTGCTCCTGAGACTGGAGTTGTTCAAGTTCACAGTGGAGGGCCCCTTGCCACAGTTGGGGGAGCTGGACAGGCTCCTGGGGTCCCACATTTACAGGGCATGGAGAGGATTCCTAACCCTATTCCAGGTACCCCACAACCTCCACTGAGTGGAAGATCTCAGGATGATGCTACAGTTGGATACTTCTTTCAAAGGCAGCCTGGAGAGCAGCTTGGTGGTTGCACACCCAGCAAGCATCGCTGGCCAACTGGAGATGCCAATCATGTTGACCAGGTAAAGAGCCTTCACCTACACACCAGTCATTAGTGTCATTCATTTTAGTGCCAGGTGACTAGACAGCAGTATTCTGCATCACTAGTGGTTAGAAGTTTCTTTGAATATTGTACCTTTTTTATTGCATTATGCCTTGTCAGTTTCTCCATCATGGCACGGTATTTGTTTCATGTCCAGAGGGAAAAACATGATTTGTAATATTCTCTCTAACAGTATTATAAACTGTTGTGCAGTGTTTTGGGCATCTGGTAGGCCTTCAAACATATACTGCATTTTCCTACTCAAACTGGACTTTCTGGGTTAGACTTGATCTTCTCACTGGTACTGGTAGCACCACCCCCTCCTCACTTGGGGACAAAGGGGAAACCAGTGAAATCATCACAAAAGAGGGCCAAAAATAACTTTTCCATTCCAACAAACCTTTGTATCTCCAAATGTAAATCAAGAAAGTGATATTCTGCGTCTTAACCTGTGCCTGGACTGGGTTATTTATTTATTTATTTATTTTGAGCAAACAAATTATTCACTTTCATGCAACCCCAGTGAGCTTGATGTAATTTGTTAAAAATGATGCACCTTATTTATACAGAATGCAGTTCAGTCCAATGTACAGTACTTACACCTTTAAAATTTAGGACGTCCTACAGGGTGTGGGAGAGTCATTATTAATGAGAACTTGCAAGACTTACAACTTATTTACATTCCAGTAAATCTATCTGGATAGTTAAACCAACTGAAATGTAACCGTTTTTGTCATCTATATCTCAGGTCCGTGCTGTGGATGAAATGAACTATGACTTTCAAGCCCTTGCTTTGGAGTCAAGGGGAATGGGAGAGGTAAGGGGATTTTGGCCCACACATTCAGCCTTTTCTCCATCAAAATAAAAACTTGAATCCAAACACTGAACCTGTTTAGGGTTGAGGGGTAGCTTTAAAACATCTGTGTTTTGCTACTTTCCAGAGAATAGTTTGAGCTGCAACAGAGCAGTTACTGTGACCAGTGGGGAAGCGGAAGATAGGTGCCCTAACAGAAATATTGAAAAGATTTAACTTCAAGAAATATTTTAACTGCAAAATTATAAACTAACTACTGTGAATCAGTTTTAAGTAATCTATGGTTGGTAATAATGGTGTATTGTAAATATTATTCTGAATGTATTTCTAATCTTTATAAAATTTGTTTTGTAGCTTTTACCAGCAAAAAAGCTCTGGGATTCTGATGAGCTGGCAAAAGATGGAAGGAAAGGGATGCTGCTTGGAGAGGAGTGGAGGGACACTGCCTGGGGATCGTCTCGTAAGTGGCTCCTATATCTTTGTCTGTTGTCTCAGCTGTTCTTTTTTTTCAGGATGAATAATCCTTTACTACATGCTGTTGTAAAGAATTTGTTCCAATTAGCATCATGCCTTGTCCATTGACCATGGTTTGCAGAGTTACCATTGTCTGACAGTTTTTCTTTTTGTTTGTTTTTTACTAAGCTATACCTTATATACACAGATGTTTAGAAACTTAAGCGCAGCTTTTCATTCAAATCATTCAGTGTCTCAGCCAATCATGGTGCAGCGACGACCGGGCCAGACTTTCCATGGGAATGGGGATGCCAATTCTGTGCTTTCACCTCGCTCAGAAGGGGGAGGCCTGGGAGTGAGCATGGTAGAGTACGTCCTGAGTTCCTCCCCAGGTGACAAGATGGACGGTCGCTACAGGAATGGAGGCTATGTAAGTTCTACTTCTAATTTAAACAGAAAGACTTAACTTGCTAACCCTTTTCTCATGGGTTGTGTATAGTGTTACTTAATCTATGTATGACTGCAGGGTGGAGGAGATACTGACCAAGATGGGAGAGAAAAGGGTGATGTCCAAGAAAAAGTGTCACCCTTTGAAGAGGATAAGGGCTCAGAGATGAAGGTGGGAGAGGACAGTGATCCAGCTAAAGCCAATGGAAGAGGTCTACTAAACGGCATGGACAGAGACTGCAAAGACTTCAAGTAGGTTTTCCTGAGGTGTTTAAGCTCATTGATGTTGCTAGGATCCCTGTCTCAGGCTAAATTTTGCACTGATAGGGTATGTGCTCTAAAGTTTAACTACTTTGCTTTCCCAGTCCAACCCCTGGAAGCCGTCAAGCTTCCCCCACAGAGGCTGTGGAGAGGATGGGACCTAGTCAGACAGGTTTGGACATGATGGGTCCACACCACCCTCATGCCCTTCAACAACAAAATCCCAACCAAAACAAGGCCCCAGTTGAGGATTTCCAAAACCAGGAGGCTCAGAACATGGGAGGTATGGAGCAGGCAGCCGGTGTGGAGTCCCTTCAGTTTGACTATGCCGGGAACCAGATTCAGGTGGACTCCTCTGGAACTCCAGTAGGATTGTTTGATTACAACTCTCAGCAGCAGGTCTGTTGAAACACACAATATTTCTACTAAGAGAGTTAACTGTGGGTTTGCTCAACAAATTGTGATCTTTTTGTTTTTTTTTTCCCCCTTTATTTTCAGTTATTTCAGAGATCAAATACTCTGACTGTTCAACAGCTTACTGCAGCACAACAGCAGCAGTATGCCCTGGCCGCAGCCCAGCAGCAGCATCTCGGTAAGTCAAGCGGTTCTTCTTCCTTGGTGGATAATACAGTGTTTTGTGTTTCAAGCTGTCTAGTCTGGTTCTACCATTGCATAGTCATTTGAATGACATTTGAAATGGCAATATGAGTTACTTTGCTGTTCCTTATATTACCCAGCTGGCCTTGCTCCTGCATTTGTGCCAAACCCTTACATCATTAACGCTGGCCCACCTGGAACAGATCCCTACACTGCTGCTGGGCTGGCAGCAGCGGCCACACTTGCAGGTGATGACACAGCACATTTTCAGTTTAAACTCTCCTTCAGGTGCAGGCATATTTTTGATAAATTATTATCTTAACTAGGGCTTAATCTAACAATTATTTTCACTGTTGATTAATCAGCTGATTATCTTCGAAATAGTTGCTGTTTTTTGTCACTCAAGTAATTGATTTAATCTTGATCAGTTTTATAAGATGTGTATGTAAAATGTTTTCCCTCAGGCCCCACAGTGGTTCCCCCACAGTACTATGGTGTTCCTTGGGGTGTGTACCCAGCTAATCTTTTCCAGCAGCAGGCTGCATCTACTGCCAATCATTCAGCTAATCAGCAAGCATCCAATCAGGGACCAGGACCAGGCCAACCACAGGTAGGAATTGTGTATATATATATTCTAACCTGGCTGTTTCTCTGAGTTTAAGCTTTAAATGTTGTCAGTATCATTTGGTAAGGTGCCTAGACTGTGAAAATCTACTTTCTGATTCAGCTTCTTAATAAGCATGGTCAGAAATAACAATAGAGTCCATTTAGCATCTTAGTGAGAAATAGTTAAAATTCCTCTGTATAATCTGCTTATATTACTGAAGATACATCTGCTACAAACAACGGTAGACTTATATATATATATGCATATTGCTAAAATGTAAACCTCTTTATTTGACATGGCGTTGCTGGAATGCCACCAGAAACTATGGGTTCTATATTCCATATACATTAGTTCTGGAGCCAGTTATTACTGCTGAGGTACCTGACTGCTGCAACTGTCTCCGACTGTCATGACCACGTATGACGTAGTTTCAGAGAATCTGTAGGTCAGGAGGAGTGGAGGGAGAAGAAGAGGGGATACTGCTTGACTTTGTTTTGCCTCTCACTTCACTCTTAACGGTCAAAAATTAGAGGAAGAAGTTAATTAATGCAGGTTTAATGTAATGTAAAAATACTTAAGATTTAAAACCAAGTTGTCACGGGATGTAATTACAGAATTTGCTTAAAAGCTTTTGATGCGGTACTTGGGCAATCTGTGAATGTGATGGTATCCTTACTTTCTCCAGGTGATGCGAACTGGAACCAACCAGCGACCTCTTACCCCAGGCC